CTCCAGCACCCAAAAAAAAAAAAAAAAAAAAAGAAATTTTTGTTTTTTTTTTTTTTTTTTTCCCTTCAGTGCTGGGATCAAACCATCAAACCAGGCTTTATGCAATGACTAGCAAGCACTCTATTACTGTGCTGCATCCCAGCCCTCTGTTTAATTTTTTTTTAAATTGCTTTCATCTCTCTGTTAAGTTTCTCTGTTAGAGTATTTATGTCTCTGTGTTCTCTTCAAACTCATTGAGTTTCCTTAAGACAGCTATTTTAATTCTCTATGTGAGATGTTTCCATAGTGATTACTGTCTGGTCAGTTTCTGGCACCTTGTTTTGAGTAGTAGGTGAGGTCATGGTTTCCTAAAAGCCTTTGATGCTTGTTGGTATGGCAGTGATGTCTGGGCATTGGAAGGTCACATTTTATTCCATTCTTCCTTATATGGCTTTGTTTATTCCTGTTTTTCCAGAAATTCTAAGCAGCCTGCTTATTTTCTCTGATCCTACAGTCACTTTTACTGCTTCAGCACTAGATGACACTCAGGGCCAGATTTGCCAGGAGTTTGCTCTTTGTGTATTGTCACTATTTCACTATTGGAAGGAAACCCAAGCCTAGGTGTCTACCAAATACTCTGTTGCTGTGTTGTTCAGAAACAAGAGAATACCTACAGAGAGTGATCTGTCCCCATAAGCTTCTTCCTGGAGCCAGTGTAGGCACAGATGCCTCATTCACAGTTAATGGCCTGTGGTCAGTCACTGCAGAATTCTTCCCAGCTCTGGGCAGTGTCGCTGAATGAACTGCCTTGGGCTCTTATGTCACTCTCGGTACCACCAAAGCCACCAAGCTGTGTCACATCCTAAGCCCATACCCCACCAAGATCAGCACAACACTGAGTTAAGACCAAGGCCTACACTGTTGTGGGCTACTTACTGCTGAAGTAGACTCATGGCCTAAGACTGCTGCAACCAGCCAAAGGCGATGCTTGCTGGAATAGAGTTGCAATAGATAGGGACCATGTGTCTTCCTCTGATATTGGAGCTATTTCAAAGACTCCACCCATAGGTTGGATGGGGCCCATTAAGATCTACACTGTGTTAGGTTTTACCAGCCCAGCATTAAGTTCTAAACTGAGTTCTTATCTTTATTGCCCTGTCCTAACCCCAGCAAATTAGGTCTTTCAGCAGGCTATGCTGCCCAAGATTGGAGTAGTATTGGCCAGTCCCTTGGCCACCTGGGCTGATGCTATTGCTAGGTTGTGCCTGAGTCTCACAGCCACATGGACCAGGGTTACACTTAGGCCCATGCTACAGCTGTTGCTGATGCAGGGTGAAACACAAGTATGTCTCACTGGAATTCAGATCTTTGCTTGATGTTATGGCTGTTATAGAGCTCTGTCTGTGAATATTGGTCTGGAGATAGCTGTGCTGCCTGAAGTTGGGGGATGAGTGGTGGAGACAGTCCCTTGGCCACCAAGGCTGATGCTAAGCTGAGTTGCACCTGAATTTCACTTCTGCAGGGGCCTACAGGGACTTGGGGAGGAGGGTGGTTGTTCCCTAGGCTCACTTCAAGGCTGAAACTGATGCAGGCCAAAACTTGGGTCTGTCCTACAGGCAGGCAGATTTCCATCTGGTGCCAGAGCTCTTCTGGAGGCTCTGTGGGCTCTGACTTGTGTGCAAGGCCTTCTGTTTCTGCTGAGTGCTGGGTCTCACCACAGTGGTCTGGATCTGGGTTTCAAGACCAAGCCCTGAGCTAACTTTTTTGTCTTGCTCCCTAAGGGTGGGTGTAAACTTCCTCCCTACTCTGACACTGAGTTTGGAGGAGGAGTTCTGGAAGCATTCTCTTTACCATCTGGCCTAATGCAGTTCCTGAAACTAAGTTCACAGGTTATCAGTCTGGCAGTAGAGGTCATGGGTTTTGCTCAGCACTGGATTTCACCATGGAGGACCTGTGGTATTGGGTTTCAAGTTTAAGTCCTCAACTTAATTATTTCTCCCTTTCCCATGTGGGAAGTGCCTCTCTCCAGGGTGGGCTGCTTATAGTTTGAAGAGGGGTAGTACAGCAATTCTTCCCTTCCTGCCTTCCTCAATGCATCTTTTCATTTTGTTATACTAAAAGCAGGTGCTATGATCTCTTACATCAATTGCATATCTCTTGTGCTAGTAGTTTGGTACATGAATAGCTATTCAACTTGGTGGATGTATCTCTGTGGTGAAATTGCCAGAGGATCTTAATGAGCCACCTTCTTGCTCAGTAGTGCCAGGGATCTTTATTTATTGCTATATCCCCCAAACCCAAAAATAATTCCTGGCATATCATGGTCATTGAATGAGTATTTTTGAGTGTAAACATTGTATATTCATTTAATTGCAGTTGCTCTCTAACCTCAGGGACATGTATCATTGGCATTCTTTTTCAGTTTTTCCAGTGTCTGTCTTCCCTATGTGTTTAATTCCCTTCTAAACTTGAATTTCCCTGAATTAAAATACGGTTGAGCACTTTTGCAAACATTTATTAGCTATACATAATTATGAGATACCTCTTCAGTATTTGCTCATTTTCCTAATGGTTGTCTTTATCTTTTTCTTATTGATATGTAGGACATTTTTATTTGTCTGGATTCAAGCTTTTAGTTATTTGTGTAGTAAATACCTTTTTAAAATTCTTTGGCTTTTCTGTCTCTTGATGACATTTTTTTGATGAACAGAAGTTCCTAATTTTAACATGGTTGAATTTACTAATTTTTTCTTTAATTGTTAGTGCTTTTTGTGTCCTAAGAAATATTTCTATAAATACTCTTAGGCCTTGCTGGTGGAAATACAGAATAGTATAACTCCTACAGAGCAAAATCCAATAATATATAGAAAAATTACATGCACATTTATCCTTTGTCTCAGCAATTTTACTTCTTAGAATCTGTTTCAAAGATATTCTATCAAAGTACCAAATCCCATATACACAAGGCTATTGTTTCAAGGCATTATTCATAACAGCATAAGACTGGATATAAAACCAATATGTATCGGGGGACCAGTTGAACAAACTATTGTACATCCACACAATGGAATACTGTACAAAAACAAGAAGGAAGAAGAGCTCTATACATTAATATGGAATTACTTCTAGGATATATTGTTAAGTGCACAAAAGTTGTAGAACAGTATTTATAATAAGTTACCTTTATGAAGGAGAAGGTATAACTAATGAATTTTATATATGTGTGTATGTTTGTATGTGTGTGTGTGCTTATTTGCTTATATTTTTTAAAAAAGAAACAATGGAGCCATAAGCCAAACTTAATAAGAAATATTATTAATGGGGAAGGAAGGGAATGGGATGAAGGGAACAGAGATGGAAGTGACACATCTGTGAAGGTACTGTATGACAGTTTTCACTTTTGATCCATGTAAATGTTTTGCATAATTTAAAATTTTAATTACAGAAGGACATAGGGCTGGGGGATGTAGCTCCAAGTAGAGTGCTTGCTTAGTGAGCAAAAGGCGAGGCCCTGAGTTCAGTCCCCAGTACCACACACACAAAAAGTGGGGAAGGAGATAAATTCATAAAATTCAAAAACAACTTCAAGCAAATAAACCTGATGATAAAGTTGTAACATAACTACACAGAGAAACAATTACTTCAAATGACTTTAATACCTGTATATCCCCAATAAGGTTTAATTTAAAGGCAGAGTAACTGAAAAGAAATATAAAACCGTATTCAGTAGCTTTATTGTTGATAGTGCTATTAGTACTGTATTTGAAATTCTAAAATTCTATAAGTGTATTGTTGTAGGTAGACATTAATAAATAATTTTGTTATTATTAGAATCCAGTGTCTTAAGCATACAAGATACATGTCTAAAATCAAAAAGTTTAAGTAAAAACCTTGTAATCTTAAATCTGAATTAGAATTACTTATATGAACTTGTGATCTATTTTTTTTTAATGTGTTAATTTTGCCCACTAAGTAGGGCTGGAAACAACAACTCAATACCGATGAACACAGGTAGTAACATATCCTGGTTTCTAAATACCACTTCTCACTGAAAGGAACCAGGGGTCAAGTATTTCAGGTTTAGGTTAAGAAATGTGTGAGATAAGCCTGGGCTGTCTTGCTGTGCCAGAAAATCAAGGCAATACAGGAGCTTATTTGGAAGGACACATCTATCTATAAAAGATTCTTGAATAAAATACTGAACATGAACTTCATCAAATATTTAGATCAGCACTGTTCATTACAATGCTCTGTAATTATGTAAATTGACTTTGTCTATTCTGTCTGGTATGGTATACATTAGCCACATGTAGCTATTGAACATTTGAAACTTGCTAAGTTTCACTGAGTAATTCATACTAAAAACTTAAACAGACATATGTGGCCAGTGGGTATTTATTATATAGCATACCTTTAAATTTAACTGCCCAGAAATAGAGAAGCTTGAGGAACAAGTGAATACTATCAGGAAACAATTCATCCTATTCATTTGTGCATAGAACAAATAATATTTCTCTACTAAATCAATGAAAGGACTAGAAAATAAGTTAGAGGGGTGGAAAGGAAGGGGAACTGTTTTAGAATGAAAGAGATTTAAGAGTTGTAACATCCAAAGACTGATTTAGATCCTGAATTAAATAACCAAGTACAAAAAAAAATCTTTGAAATAATGAAGGCAATTCATATATGAATTCAGTATTTAATGATAATAAGGAACTGTATCAATTTGGTTAAGTGTGATAGTGCCATACTCATTGTATTTTTCAAACATCCTTATCAATGAGAGGTGCATATACTTGTATGATCCTGAGAGTCCTAGGTGCCTCATTTACCTGGCCATCATTCTGGCCTTGCTTGAGATGCACTATAATAAGATAGTTATATACCATTGTCATTTGTCACAGGTTGTAAAGACTTTCCCAGCAGAATTGCTAATTGGAGATCCATGATTTAATTTTTATTTGTTAAACATTGTGCTGGTAGGCTTTGTAGAACTTCCCTATCTCTTTGTCTTGATCCAGATGAACCCCCAAAGAAGAACAAAGGTGATCCCATGAACAACCTGGAAAGTTTTTACCAAGAGATGATAATGAAAAAACGTCTTGAAGAGTTCCAACTTATAAGAGGTGAACCCTTTGCTTCCCACTCACTGGTCTCAGCCACATCAGTGGGTGATAGTGACACAGCTGAGAACCCGTCACTACTCCAGGACAAGGGAAAACAGGCAGCACAGGGTAAAGGTCCCAGTCTCCATGTGACAAAAGTTATTGATTTTTCACCTGAGCAATGTTGGACTGGGCCTAAGAAGCTGACGCAGCCAATAGAATTTGTCCCAGAAGATGAGATCCAGAGAAATCGTTTGTCAGAGGAAGAGATCCGAAAAATTCCTATGTTTTCTTCATATAATCCAGGGGAACCAAACAAGGTATAGGCCAAACCAAGGAAAACAACATGGGTTGTTTTCATTTTTTATTTACCTCTACCAAAAATAATATTTTAAAGTTAGCTTTGATTATACCAAAGATCATGACATAGGCATAGTGATTGTGTTTATCCTTAACTTTGACTATTCGTTCTCTGCATAGTATATAAGTAGCATATTCCCATGATGTTCTTTGTGCTTGTCTTAGGTCCTAAATTACCCTTAAAATTTTAACAAAATCTTGATGACATGCTAGTTCTACCTATTAGAAGCCCTTAATTGAAGGAAAAATGACTTCTAATTTCCTAGACTAGCAATAATCAATTATTATTCATAGGACCACCATAACTGGTAGCCATGATGCTTCTGGAATTAGTCAATAATAATTGACCAACTGGTTGTAAGTAGAGTTAACTATTGGTTACCATGTGAGTTTTCAGTTCATAATGTTCTACCTGACTTTCATGTGACATGACTTAAGTTTCTGTAAGCAAAGACGCAAAATGAAAACATGAGTCCTCTGAGCTTTGAGAAATTGACAACAAATTAACATGTATTATCCTTGTTTTATAGATCAAATCATTATTTCATGTGCATAATATATGTAACATCTGAAATGGGAAACTCATTACCATGTTATGCAATAAGGCAACATAAGCTCTTAAAGAATTATTATACTGTGTCTAATTTAAATACAAAACAAAATAATAATGCCAGTTTCTGACTGTCCCTGAATTTAAAAAAAAAAAGCACTATAGATGAGGGACGTTAATTATTTTCCTCTGTGTGACTGATTTCTAATGTTTTTTTCTATTTGTTTTTTCTATTTGTTCAAGGGTAGCTTGATTTTTATTTAGTTTACCAAAGGTTATATAAAATACTATAGCAAGCCCCTGTGTACCTAGTAGCCATATTTATCAAATCTTAATAGTTTCTGTATTTTGTTAATCAAAAAAACTGTAAAGCATTATAGATACACCTGAAGTCTTCCATGTATCCCTTACCAATCCCATTTGCCTTTCCAGATAATTACTATCCTGAATGTGCTATTCCATTTCTATGAACATTTTTAGGCCTTTGTAATGTATCTATATATAGATGGTTCCTGATTTATGATGGCTCAACTTATGATTTTTGACTTTATGATTGTGTGAAAGCAATTGGCATTCTGTAGAAACTGTACTCTGAATTTTGAATTTTGTTTTTTCCTCTAATCTAATGATATGTAGTATAGTACACTCTTGTGATGCTGGGCAGCCACAGTAAGCCATAACCCAGTCAGCCATGCAGTCATGAAGGGTAGCAACTGATACTCTACAGTGAACTATTTTGCTAAGTTATAATGTGCCACATTATAACTTAATGCATTTCTAAATTAAGATATTTTTAACTTACAATGGGTTTATTGGTACATAACCCCATTGTAAGTCAAGGAACATCTATATTCATAAACAACATAGTTTTCTGTATTACATAGATGAAGTCATACACTATATAGTTTTATATAACTTGCTTTTTTGACTCAATATATGCAAAGTTTTAAAAATTTATTTCTAATGATACAAAGACTTATTTAGTATTACATTGTAGAAATATTCTATAATTCGTTTATCCATTTTCCTGAACATTTGTCCTTTCCATTAGTTTACTATTACAGATAATTCTGTAATAAACATTGTGTATTTCTCATTGTACATATGCAAGAGTTTATGACAGTGTTTTTCAACTTAGATTACAATTAGTAGGTCACAATCAGTTTCTTTTTTAAAAATCAAGTGAAAGAGAATAGAAAATATCAAAGTATGTTTCATACAGTTAGAGTAATTGCTCTTTCTTAAAGCTTTTATTTTATTGTGTGTACATGTGCTTTAGAGAGAGAGAGAGAGAGAGTGAGAGGAAGCAAGAGGGGGAGAGAGGTGTGTGGGCCACAATGTAAAATCTAATTCTTCCTGTAGATCTCAGTCAAAAAAGTTGGAAAAGTGTCACTCTTTTGCAGTGGTTCTTACATTGTTAGTGTTCATCAGAATCACCTGAGGGACTTAATAAAACAGATTGCTGGACTTCACCCCCAGAATTTTTTACTCAATAGATCTAGAGTAGGGCATGAAAATTTGTATTTTCAGCAAGTTCCCAGGAGATACTGATGCTGCAGATCTGAGAGTGACATTTTAAGAGTTACTGTTCTACATTTGTTACCTAGGAGTGGAATTACTATGATATGGGATATGCATATCTTCAAGCAGGATTTCAGATTCCCCTTCACATCTTTGCAAAGACTTTATAGCATTAGACTTTTAATTTTGCTGGTCTAGTTGGTTTGAAATGATATCTCATTATTTTAATTTGCAAGTTCCTGGTTTCCAGTGAATTTATACTTTTATTCATATATTAGACCTTCATCAACACTCTGAATTAGCTTTTCCATTCCTTTGCCCATCATTTGTTCATTTTTCTATATTTATTTATAGGGATTATTTAAAACTTCTAGACATGAATGATTGCTTTAGGAAATGTCTTCTCCAAGTAGGTAGCTTACCTTTACCACATTGTTTCTGATATCTTTTGTTGACTTTCATTTTAATGTTATCTAATTATTGTTATTTTTGGATGATTTGTGCTTTTCGGAGTCATTTTAAGGAAACCCTTCTCTACAAATCAATAAGAAACACACAACCCTATTAAAAATGGGTAGAACATATAAACAGGCAATTCACAGGGGCAAAAATTGAATGGCCAATAAATTTAAGAAATCTCATTAGTAATCAAGAAAATGCAAAATAAAAACCCAATGACGGTTTGTGGTTGTAGCTTGTGGTAGAGCACTTGCCTAGTGTGCATGAGGCACTGGGTTCGATCCTCAGAACCACATAAAAAAATAAAATAAAGGTATGAAAAACAATATATACCATTCAATACCTAGAACATTGGCATACATTTAAAGGCATGACAATGCCAACTGTTAGTGAATATGTGGAATAAGAATTCTGAAATACCATTGAGGGAATATAAATGTGTATACCCGCTTTTAAGAACACCGTGACAGGATGTCAGAATACACTCTACTTTTGTGTATACTTAAAAAGAACAACAACAAAAAGAACACCATGACAATATCTAGTAAAACTGAAGATGCTCCAGCACCATCAGTCAGCAGTTATGCATCTAGGCATCTATCCTGGGAAAAATCTTGCACATGCACATTAGATTTCACAAGGATATTTATAGTATCATTTGCAAACAGTACACATGCTCATCGTTAGGAGAATGGATTAAGCATGGTATATTCATAAAATGAATACAATATAATAGAGAGTTAATAAAATAGAATTACAGACATCAACATTGATGAAACCCACAAATATAGTTTTGAATAAAAAATGTTGCAGACTCTTCCTTTCAGGTTCAACATCTCAAGTGCTTGGAAGTCATTACTCCTATCTTACAAGAAGAAATAGCTTAATGAACTAAAAATCAATGAATTTTTCTGGGCACATCAGATAATCAGTCACAGGGCAAACTACAACCCTGAAATCTGGAAAGATAGATAATTATAGGAAATCACATCCCAAATCTGCTTATAGGAATAGAAGACACTGGAGCCATAAACTGATAGGAACAGATAGCAATAACTGACAAATTGGTGGAGGTGGAATATAGAGTAGTGTAGGAGTGATAAACCCCTGTCAGTTGAAATCTAAACTGACCCCCGCATCTTAATGACTTTTACTTCCAGTGGCTCTACAGGCTCTAAACAGATTAATAAAATTTGGCTCAGTTCTTATTACTTGATAATTCACATCTGGCTATAGCCCCACCCCACCCTATTAGAAAACATGCTCAAAAAAAAAAAAAAAAAAAAACAGACTTGAGGAGATAAAACAAGGATGAGAACCAAACTCAAGATGTGACACAAGTTTTTGAATTAGCAGATATAAAATGTAAATATCTATGATTAGTATAGTAAGGAGTCTACTAGTAAAATGAGAGAGCATGCAAGAGCAGATGGCTAATGTAAGTACAGAGGTAGAAACTCAAAGAATCAAAAGGGGATGCTAGAAATAAAACACTGCAACTGAAATGAAGAACTATTTGAAAGACTCATGAATAAGTTGAGTAAGTTGGAAATGAGAAAGGAAATAAACAGAAAGCTTAAAGACATGGCAGTAGAAACTTCCCAAGCTGAAATACAAAGAAAATGAATAGAACAAATGGAACAGAATAGCTTAGAACTATGGGACAATTCCAAAAGGAATAACATATACCTTATTGAAATACCAAAAGAAGAAGAGAAAAAGGAGGAGAAAATTTTGGAGTAGTAATGGCTGAAAATTTTCTGAAACTAATGACAGACAACAAACCACACATCCAGGAAGTTGGAAAACATTAGGCAGGATAAATATAAAAAAAAAAAAACACTCCTAAGCATAACTTGTTCAAACTACAGAAAACCAAAGACAGAAAAAGTTTTAAACCAGCCAGAGAAAATAAAATTTTTACCTATATAGGAACAAAGATTAGAATTTCATAAGACTGCTCATCAGGTAAGAAGTATTAGTATTGAGGAGGGAAAAACTCACCCACCTAGAATTCTTTATCCAGAAAAATGATCCTTCAAAAATGAAGGAAGGGGCTGGGGTTGTTATTCAGTGGTAGAATGCTTGCCTATCATGTGTGAGACACTGGGTTTGATCCTCATCACAACATAAAAATAAATAAAATAAAAATATTATGTCTATCTACAATTATTTTTTTTAAAAGTGAAGGAAAAATAATAAAGAATTTTTCAGACAAAGACAGGAAATTTGTCACTAAAAAAAATATTCTCCAAGGAGAAGGAAAATTATATAAATCAAAACTCAGATCTGCATAAAGAAAGAGCATAAGAGAAGGACACATGAAAGTTAAATAAAATCTTTTTATTTTCTCATTTTAAAATTAACTTTTCAAAGTAATTAAAATAATGTTTTGTATGATTATAACATATGGATGAAGTGATATGAATA